AGAAAAGAAAAGAAAAGAAAAGAAAAGAAAAGAAAAGAAAAGAAAAGAAAAGAAAAGAAAAGAAAAGAAAAGAAAAGAAAAGAAAAGAAAAGAAAAGAAAAGAAAAAACTCATTTAAAGTGGGACAGGGAAATAAGCACCCAGGCCTGGTGAAGTGGAAATAGGTTTGGTAGATGTGTGCGAAACCACGGAAGTGGGAAGAGGCCCTTAGTCTTGGTCTCGCCCGGTCCCGCAGGGCACACGGCAGTGCCCGGGGGCGCGGGGACACGCCGGTATTTTTAATCTGGGCAGACAGAAATTGTTCGGTGGATTTAAATGTTGGCAAAGCAATACTTCCAGGAAGTCTGGTGTGGGAAGGGGCACCAGGTGATATTGTGGTATGTGTGGTAGGGGAAGGTGACAGCGAGCTGGGAGCCTTTTCCTTTCTACTTTTCCCATCCCTTCCCTTCCCGTTCCATCCCTTTCATTCCCTCTCCTTCGAAAGTAGTCTTATTCTACCAAGCTCAGGTCTCCCCTGTTTACAGGGGTTGCCTCTATGCCTTGGGACTCGGGCTTCATCTCACAGAACACTCATCTTGTGTATTTCTCGAGTCTGTTCTTCCTGCCTCTCTCCTCAGTGATATGGGAAAACAGTGAGGAAACTATGGCAAAATACATTATCCGGAGGAAATTTGAGGTTCTCTGGCTTTCCCGGCCCATCACCAAGCTATTATCCCTCACCATGCAATCAGCAGTTACAAAGGCTCAGAGCATCTCTGAGAGAGGGTCCATGAACTCCCCAAGTGTTAGTGACAGCGCAGGGAGTTACCTTCCACGCAGCACTGCCGGAGACGCCCGCACTCAGCTCCCACTGCCTTCGGGCTCGGCTGTGTGCCTGAGCACGGCCCGAAGGGCGCGGGGCGATCGGGGCTGCCTGGGGCGGAAGGGAGGAAGGGAGGGGGTGGCTGCTGGAAGACCGCTCGGAGGGGTAGAGTTGTTACGGAGCTGTTTCCAGCCACGGACAACGCGGGAGGAGCCGGGTGGCGGGAGGGGTTACCGGCAGCGGCGATCAGCGGGGTCCCGGCCCCGCTGCGAACAAGAGTCTCTGCTGCCGGGGGGACTCGATACCCACCGCTGTCCCGCCGGCAGGTGCCGGGCCCGGCCGGGCTGGGCCGGGCCGGGCCGGGATCCCGGCGGGATCGCGACCGCCACCGCCCCTTCCCCGCGCCGCCAAGCGACCGGAGGGCGCCATCTACGGGCCGCGCCGGGAAGCGCCGCCGGCCCGCACCTGAGCCCGGCCGCCCCTCCGCCCCCGCGCGGGGTGGCCCCGCCGCGGCCGTGCCCAGGGCCCGGGGCGGGAGCGCTGAGAAGGGACCCGGCGGGAGAGCGTGGGGTGCCGCGGGCCTGGCGCGGGTGGGCGAGCGGCGGCCAGCGGGGCAGAGCCGGGGCAGGTCGGCAGTGAGCGGGGCATCCCCGGCCCGGCGGCGGGGCCGCTCACGGGGAGCTGCGGCCGCTCTCAAGTTGGCGGGGGGAGTTCCCCGGGCGGAGCGGAGCGGTTCCTTTGCCTTCGCCAGCCGGGTGACAGCGACCACCACTCCTCAGCGGGCAGCGGAGAGCCCTCACTCCCTCGGAAAATTCTTCTTGTGCAGGGGCGGGCAAGGCCGCCTCAGCCGTGCTTGTCCGCAGCGCAGCCCCGCAGCCCCGGGGACCCACTTCACATGTAACCCCGGTGGTGTAACAACAAAATTTGTATTTTCCAAATCATCCTTTTTTTTTTTTTGCACACAAGGGAAAGAGAGAGAGGAGAGAGAAAGATAAAACATCAGCTGAAGTGCCAAAATGATTTATGAGACAGTGGAAAATATTTCATAAAGATCTCTCAGAGATTCTTTACTTAGAGTGGTTAGAAAAAAAAGGGTCTGTTTTGTGACAGGTAAGCAGAGGGATGGGGAAGGATGAAGGAGGAAAAGAGAAGGAAGTACATTTCAGGTGACGGTAAACTCACAAGTCTGAAAACTGATCTCACACCAATTTCTACCGTTTCTTTTCACCCCTGGTTATTACCCTAAGGAGGCGTTTCTTACTTGCTCTCTGTTGCTCTACTAGGTCAAAGCCAGGTCTACGTTTGTGAAATAATTTTAAAATCCCACTCTAGCACTAAAAAAAAAAAAAAAAAAAAAAAAAAAAAAAAAAAAAAAAAAAGAGAGAGAGAGAGAGAGAGAGAAAGGAGAAGCAAAAGAGATGTGGAAAGTGTGAAGTTGGAGTTGGATTTGCTGTTATTTCCCCAAATGCGTGAGAGGAAACTTTGCAATTACTGAAACGGGCCCAACCTCTTGCTTTAAAGAGATGCAAGAAGCTCCCTTCCTCTTCCGTTCTCTCTCTGTCTCATTCTCTCTTTCTCTCGCTCTGTCTAGCTTCTATTTATTTGTCTTTCTTTTTTTTCTTTATACCTTTCTCTCTTGATCTCTCTCTCCTCTCGCTGTCTCTCTCCTTTTCCTTTTCCTTCCTCTCTCTTCCTCATCTCCTTTCTCCCTTTTTCTCCCCGTCCGTCTCCCACACTAAGCTGCACACCAGGGAAGCCTTGATGTGTATCGAATCCCCCCCTCCTTCGTCCCGCTTTACCCTGAGTAAAGTCTCCGGTAAAAAAGAGCGGGGCGTAAGAAGGGAGACGAAACTACGAAGGCGTGTGTGCGTGTGTTAAATAAGGGAGTTAAGGATCCTGAGCCGCAACTGACAACAAAGCGGGGCTCACGTCCTTTCCCGCGGGCCGGGCAGGGGCGCCGCCGCCCCGCACACGCACGGCCCGGGGCGCTCCGGAGCGCGCAGCCGGGGCTCCCCCGCGCCGGGTCCCGCAGGCAGCGGCCCCCCCCGCGCCGAGCGCCGCCGGCCCGGCCCTCCTCTCTCTCCTCTCCTCTCCCCTCTCCTCTCCTCTCCTGGCCGCGCTCGGCTCGGCGCGCTGGCGAATCAGAGAGTGTCGGAATCTATTGCCTTTGTCTGACAAGTCATCCATCTCCGGGGAGGCGGGCGGGGGGCTGAGGGCGCTGCGGCTTTTAGAGAGACACACACCGGGAGCGGAGGCTCCAGTCTCTGGCCCCGGCTCCTCGCAAGCACTTCCCACCTCGGGCGAAAGTCCGCCGGCGCCGGATCCGCCGCCCGGCCGAGAGGAGGGGTCGCGCCCGCCCGCCGCTCGCCGCTTTCCCGGGGATTGCTACTCCGCTTTGAACTTAAATGAACTAGCCCCGGACCGCGGGAGGAGGAGGAGGAGGAGGGAGAGCCGCGTTCTCTGCGCCTTCTGCCGCCTGGCCGCCGGCCGCACCTTGCTCCAGCACCCCCTCCCCGCCGCCGGGGATGCTCTGAGCCCTCCCAGCCATGACACCCACCTGCCCCCCGGCGCCGCCAGTCCCTCGCTCCCACGGACTCTGCTGACTCCGCCAGCCCCGCCGCCCCGGCCCCCCAAGGCCGGCGCAGCCCTCCCGCCCCCCGGAAAGTACTTCGCTGCCCGCTCCGCCGGGCAGGGGGCCCAGCGCACCCCGCCGTTCCCCTCCTTTCCTCTCCTTGTGTGCTTTTTTGTTTTGTTTTGTTTTCGTTTGTTTTGGTTTGTTTTTTTTTCTCCCCTAAGTCTTGAAGTTGAGTTTTAGAGGCGACACGGCGGCTTCAGCCGATTTCTTCCCCTTCCTTTGCCTCCCCATGGATATGCACTGCAAAGCAGACCCCTTCTCAGCAATGCACCGTGAGTACTGGAGCCCGGCTCCTTCCGCTGCTCTCCCTCTTTCTCATCCCTCCATTCTTCTTTCCCCAACCATCCTTCCTCACCTGACCCTCCTCCAGGTCCATCCTTTTACCCTGACTGATACTGGGCTTAGAGAGGCGTTCAGAAGGCAGGACGGATACCGCCGGCCCGAGCAGCAGAGCGAGGATGCCGGGCATCCCCGGAGCCGGAGGCAGCAGACCTCTGTGCCGGCAGTGGGGCGGGGGCCAGGAACCCCAGTGCGGGGGCAGAGGCTGTGTGCGGCTGTGCCTGTGCTACGAGCCCTGTGTGCGCGAAAGAAAGCACCCCCCGAAACAGAACTATCCTCTGCAAAGACACTTTCCCCATTGCCCCTCAAACAACACGAGTTTATTCTGACTCGTGTCAGCCTCCGGGACGGACCCTTTCCCTGTCCGTGCCCCGCCGGGCCGGGGCTCCCTGCAACCCTGCTTGGCTTTAACCCCCCAGATTCCCCCGCGACCTGATGCTGTTTGCTTTGATTTCGGATTTCAGTGGCAGAGAGGGGAGATGCCAGTTTCAAATTAACGGCGGGTTGGTCGGTGACTGTTCCGTGCTTCGTTTTGGTTTGGCAAAAGGTTGGACTGCAGGAAAAATAGGACAATATTATGGCTAGGAGATGGAGTGGTTTTGGAGGCTCCCAAGAAGTCACGATCCCTCCTGGTTTATTTACCAGATCCCCGGTGTGCATTTTAAATGCATTCCTGGCACAAAGTGCATTCATGATATATTTTCAATTTGAAAAACCTTTCTGTAAGACAGGGACGAAGGAAAGCGAAAGCCCCCTTTACCAGAGGCCGTAACAGGAATTTCCAGTGACTTTAATTTCATCATTCCCTCCTCATTTCAGGAGGGAAAATAATTCCGCGATTTAAATTAAAGAAGAAAAAATACAAATGGAAAGCCGAGATCGAGAGCACGTTGAGTCAGGAAATGAATAATTAAGAGCAATTTGTAACTTTTGACACTGAAACTTTTGAGGACACGCCCTGCCTGCTGCATAAAATACAAATCGAAAAGATATAAAATAGAAATACTTGAAGTTTAAAAAAAAAATCCCGATTTTGCCGTGAGAAGGAAGGTTAAGAAATACAAACCCATTATTAGATTCCTAAACGTGGATGTAGGTAACTGTCTTTCTGTTTCCAAATAACTGATTTCCGGGATAAATTGCTTAAAATGTGGAGTTTAAATTCCGAAGACCTTTAACAGCAAACAGTCCGTGCATTAGGCACTATTTTTAGTTTTCAGCGGTGCGACCTGCTTTCAGACGCAATTGCAGTAATACCGCCTCCAGTATGATCCGGAACATATAGGCAGACGAAAGAGGTGTTTTGCTGTCGCTGATTTTTTAAAAACTCCAGTGAGATTCATGAACAATTTTTGGCTTCCGATTAGGGAAAAAAAAATCAACATCCGATTCGTTTCCCAAAGTGTATTTCTAAAGCTACAGACCTGGATATTAGTAAGCAATTAAAACAGATGCGGGCGCAGGCTCTTGACACACAGACAGACAGCAACACAGGATCGGTACGGGAGCGGCACGGCTCGGTATGTGCATATACAGACGCCGGCACTTATATGCAGATAAATACATGAAAATATCTGACTGCTCTGATAGAAAGAACCTTAGAAAACCACAAGGCAGAGCAAAACAAACTCGTGTGAAAAATATCCAGACTGCAATAATTTGAATTATTAATTTTTAATCTTTTTGCATCAGTTGCCTTTTAATACTTTGTAATGCGAGTTATAATAGGTGCCTTGAATTATTTATCATGGAGTTGCCGAAGAAATTGCTGTCTTGTAACTTTAGAGGCAACATGTGCAGAAGGGGTTCTGAACAAATGAAGGAAGCACAGAGCAACATATACCCGCAGGTTTTAGTGGCGGAAGACAAATATCCCCCCTCCTCTCTAAAACTCTAAATATGTTTTTAAAAAAACTAACAAAAGAACGCAACAAATAACCCCGGTTCACCAAGGAACGACGAGGAAGCCTGCCGGCGCCCCGGCCGATGCAGCTGGGAAGGGATGTATGAAGGTGTTACCGAAGGGGTGGGGGAGATGGAAAAAACTCTATTTGTGCGAAAGGACTTGGATCGATCGCAGGGCAATGAGAGTTTCCACTAAGTTCAGAGCCAATAAGTCAGTGTCAGAAGCAAGGGAGAAAAAAACCTCAGCGAAAATACAAACAGATCATTTTTCAGCAAACTACAAAACGAACTAAGATCTCTTGGCGAGGAAGATACAGAAGGTTAGGGTTGTGTGAAAGGAAAGCTTTAATACAGTGTGCACTCCACAGCTATATCAGTTGGATATTCCAGAGATAGAGACACTGAGGTAGCAGCGCCAGCGAAGCTGTACCGCCTGCGAGTGGGTATCTCCCCACGCCCGGGCAAAGATGAACTGCTCCCGGCTCTAACGTAGTAGTTTGATTCACAACCAACTGTCTTGCTGCGTCCTAAAAGGAGATATTTCCCTTTATCCCTGTCAATCCGTTTCTCGTGCCCGCGCTTAGCAGGTGCATACTTATTTTTTTTCTCCAAGTTGTTTCTCGAAATGGAGAAAGATAGATGGGAAAAAAGCCATCCTAGCAGTCCTATCTGAGAGAGGGCGGATTTTTGCCTCTAAAGGGGGGAACGGAAGAAAACGAAGCATTTTTAATTCTCCCTGAACTAGATTTGCGTGGTGGGAAAAAAACCGGACCAGTGCGAGTCTGTCAGATTTTTTTTTTTTAACTGGAGAATTTTTCCTGTAAAGATCGAAAGCAGATGAGAGAGAGGGTCCGTCTATAAAGGAACACCGGTCGCGGGACCAAAAATATTTTCTTTCTCTCCCCTTCCCTCTCTCTCCATTTCTTTCCCTTTCTCTTTTTCTCTCTGAATCCCTTCAACTCGCAGCCCAAAATAACGGGAGAGGACGGCTTGCATGGGGGACATGCCGCGGGGTGAGGGAGGGCGGAGTTCGCGAGGAACTGTAATTGACAATGTGATAGAAAATCCTGGAAAGAAAATGAGAGAAAAAAGCCCAGGAGTAAAGAGAAGGGGGACTGCGGCGGAGTCCGCTCGGAGCCGCTAAGAGGTCGAGCTCCGGAGTTTGGGAGCGCATCGCTGCCCAACTCTGGGGAGAGGAGCGGGCGCGGGCACTGTCTCCGTCTTCGGCCCACCACAATGGCCCTGAGAAGCCACTGCTCCGGCATCCCGGTCGGGATCGCAGGAGGGAGAGCGGCTCTCCGGCCCAGAGACGGGAGGCGGCGTACGGGAAGCTGGAGAAGCGTCCCCCTCCGACTCGGGAAAATTCACTCAGCCTTCTCATTCCTTTCCATCTTTCCTCCTTTCTCTTTTCCTCTTCCGTTATCTTTCTTCCTTTCTTAGTTCTTTTTTCCTCTGTCTTCTTTCTTTCTTTCTTTTTCTTTCTTTCTTTCATTCCTCTCATTCTCCCTGTTTTTTCCTCTTTCTTTCTCTTCCTTTTTATCATTTTCTCTCTCTCCCCAACGTCTTGTTCCCCATTCTCGACCCCCCGCCATCACCTCCATCCATCTATAATGACTGGAGATTTTGCAGTACGGGTGGTGAAGAATCCACGACTAACGGTGTGTTTCTGGTGTGCGTGGGTTGTTGTGTTTTTTTTTATTTCTCTTTCCCCAGCAGGGCACGGGGGTGTGAACCAGCTCGGGGGGGTGTTTGTGAACGGCAGGCCCCTACCTGACGTGGTGAGACAAAGGATAGTGGAGCTGGCTCACCAGGGGGTGCGACCCTGTGACATTTCCAGGCAGCTGCGGGTCAGCCACGGTTGTGTCAGCAAGATCCTGGGCAGGTAAGGAAAGAGGCAGCTTCTTCCCCTCCCCTGGGATTGCAACGTTGCATCCCTTCCCCGCTCCGGTGTGACCTTCCGCCCTTCCCGCCGCACCGGGCTCTCTCCTCCACGACCCCGAGCGGCCCCAGCACCTTCACGCAGTGGGAGCCCGCGGCTGAGCAGGGCCCCCTCCTCCAGCTGGCAAGGACGTGTTTCTCCCCTCCTCCCCCTTTCCTCCACCGGTGGTGTTTGAAAACTCCTGGGAAGACAAAATAATTTGCGAGGGTTGGGCAGGAGGGCGGGAAAGAAAAGGAATAGGAGAAGGAAACGAAAGAACGACCAAAAAAAAACAAACCAAAAAAAAAAAAACAACAGCCCCCAACAACAACCAAAAAAATCCGAACTCACAACAATCCGTGAGCAGCCTTACCAAATACACGGGTAAATAAACAAACATCGGGGCAAATAAATAAATAAATGCCCGCGGTAACCGATCGCCGCCAAATGTGGTGTCAAATATCCCCAGGGGTTAGTCGGGGGGACCCGGCGCCCTGGTCCGGCCGCTCGGATGTGGAGCGGTGTCAGCAGGCGGCAGAGCCCCAGCCGCGGGTGCGTGCGGTGTGTGCTCTGCCGTGCCTTGGCAAGGCCGAGCCACAGACGCTGCCGCCAGCAGAGCTGATGGCCGGCGGGGAGCGAGGCTGGAGCTGCCCTGTACGAGCACCCGCTTTCGAGGGACTCCTATGCGGGGATAAATTGCGCTCCCGCATCAGAGTCCCGAGTCGGGAGGGGCCGGCCGGGACAGTCAGGGCGGGGGGGTGCGAGCCCGGCAGTGCCCGCTCCCCGCGCCCCCTCCCCGCCCGGCCGGCCCGGTCCCGCGCTCGGTGGGTTCCCCTCCGGACGGCCGCACCGAGGAGAGGGTTTCTGCTTTATTTCCCGATCCCCGGGCCTGAAAGAAGTGTGTGCGTGTAAAGCAGTAGAAGGGGGAGGCAGCGCCCCTCGCTTCTCGCACACATAAAAAGGGACCAAAAAAAAAAAAAAAAAAGAAAAAAAAGAACAGCGGGAGCGAGCCCCGGAGAGGCGAAGGGACTGCGTCAGCCCCAGCTCCAGGCGGCCTGGCGCCTCGCGGAGCCCGCACCATGCAGCGCCCGAGCGGCCGCGGCCCGACGCCGCGCACCCGCGGGCCGAAGCCGAGGCGGGGCATGGGGCAGGGGCCCGCGGGGCGCTCCGAGGGTCAGCCGGGCACCGAGTGTTCGGGGACGGCGGGGCCCTTCCCGGCACGACAGGTCGCTGACCCTCCTTTGTGCAGGTATTACGAGACGGGGAGCATCAAGCCCGGCGTGATCGGCGGCTCCAAACCCAAAGTAGCCACCCCCAAAGTAGTGGATAAAATCGCCGAGTACAAGAGACAAAACCCGACAATGTTCGCCTGGGAGATCCGGGACAGGCTACTGGCCGAGGGCATCTGCGACAACGACACGGTCCCCAGCGTCTCCTCCATAAACAGGTAAGAGCAACCCCGCAGCTCGCGGCCCAGTCGCATTTTTACGGCCCCACAAAACCCCTTTCAGCAGCGCGGACGGCCCAATCCTTCCTCGGTCAGGGTAGGTCCAACCTACTCCAGTCCCTGGCCCGCAGCGGGACCCCGGGCATGGTCCAATGGGCGCTCCCCAGCCCCGCCGTGACCCCCGAGCCCAGTTCCGGGCAGCGGAGCCGACACCGGCTGCCCGCGGCTCTGTGCCGGGGCTCGCTGCTGCCCGCCGCAGGGCCGCAGCTTGTGCCCGCCGCCCGGTCCGGGGGGCAGGCGGGGTCCGGGGCAGCCGGCGCTGCTGCGGGAGCAGCTGAGTTCCCGCCGAGCAGCCTGGCGGTGCCGCAAGCTTTGGGGGCTGTTCGGGCTGGCGAGGAGCCGGGCGGCGGAGCCGGGTTTTTCCGTGTCTCTCCAACGCCTTTCTCGGGGCGTAGGTGATCGCCGGCCTTTCCAGGGTGTTAGAGCTCTGAGTCGAAAGGCTGCCGTTATCTACTGCCAAGCCGGGCTCACAGCCGCGAGCCGCTGAGCGCGGGGGGAAGGATTCCCTTGCACCTACTCCTCCGGTTCACTCCCCATCGCTAGCCCGAGGGAACGGCTAAACTTGCCGGGTGATCCTTTCCCCGGCTGGGGAGCGCTGCTCCCCGCGCTCCCTGCGGCCCCGTCTTGATTTGATCCCTGCCCTCGCAGGAGGTTGGGCAGCAGGATCGATTCCGCACTAGCGAACGATTTCCCACCCCACCTCCTCCCCCGGCTGCTAGGGTGCGAATTTTGTTGGTGAAGGGACTCAGATTTGGTCTCACGTTTGAGGTGACAAAAATAACCATGTGACAGGCAAAAAACCCGGATCGATGCAGGAGAAAAGGGACGGTAATAGATGTAATCGAGTACTAAGACACGTCAAAGCGCTCAAACTGTTCACATGCCTACACAATTAAACACAACATACAGGAGATCTTCATACTTTGGAAATACACAACACTCTCGTCTACACAGTAAAAGTAATTACGCTGTTTTAGTGTAATGTATGCATAGATACCCTGACTATGCCCACAGAAATGTAACCTCTAGAAAGAGTAACACAGGAATATTTGTAGAGGGTACATACATAGGCATGAAATACCTCACTGACAGAGTAAAAATACATGAAATTTTGGACTCAATCCCAAATGTACAGCTCTTCTCACTCGAATAAATGTATATAGGGAATACGTAAACATGCATACAGGCTTTTTTTGTATCTACATAGATAAAAATGCACAAGTCAGTATATTGGCCCTTTTAATACATTAAAAATTTAGCCTTTTTTTAAAGAATGGTGTATTTATAGCAAGGGAAGCAAAAAATAAATAGCAAGGAAAACACAGTGGTATTTTTTGTCTTGCACTTTTCATGGCAGATTTATCAAAATATGTCTAATAACTCAGACTGTGTATTTCTAAATCTGGCATCCTATATAAATGGGTTTTAATATTTTGCAAATGATATGGAATTATCCCAAATCATCTTGAAAACAGCAGGTAGAATTAGCTAGTGGAATGTACCTTGGCTAAGAAAGATTCCCTCAGACACACTGTCTCTGTAATATACTGCTAGGCTACCCTAGGAAATTATCCCTGTGTGTGCCATCTGTATTAAAATGGTTATTAAGTTATGAACAGGGTAACATAATACTGATCGGCTAATTATACACCCTCCTAAAAAACCTCCAGGTCTCTGTTACTCTCTCAGTCAGGTATTGAAATAATAACAGTTTGACATTCAGACACCTTACAAAGGCAGCTGTGGAAGGACAGCCAGCTATCCCTGTAAGGAATGGAGCTGGTGGTATGGAAGTCCAGAGGAACAGCTGTAGGCTCCTCGGAGGAATAACATGTATGGAACCAACACACATGTACAGCTAGCTCAAGGGGTGTCAGCATCCAAAAGTCACTGAAGTCTCAGCCTTATGTTTGCTGGACCCAATGCCTTCTGTCTGGGTTGTGATGTCCCAGGCAGAAGGCTGAGTGCCACATTTTGTTCCCACCTTTGCTACCAGTTTGTTGCAGGGCTTTGGGAATTTTGTACCTCAGTTTCCCCACCCTGGAAATGAAAACTGATCTTTCTCAGAAGGAGGTGGAAGCAGATGTCAGTTAGATTGCACTTACAAAACACTTTGAGGACAAGTGTTTTGTAGCAACTAAGTATTATTATACTTAAGAGGCTCAGCTGTGACCTACCACTGCGATGGCATTTGAGTGTGTAGTCTCCAAGCCTCAAGAGCATTTTGGCTTCATATGATTTAGTCTTTCCCTGTCCCTTTTGAAAATTCAGACCCAACTTCCCACTGCTCACCTTTGTATGAGGCTCCCAAAAACTCACATGTTTTGTGAGGAAGTGAGTCCATCATATCACAGGTTGTAAAATTTGCAAGTTTAACCTAAACAAGAACAGGACAGCAAACTGGAAGAAAATTGCAGTGGAATAGGAAATATTGAGTATATAAGGGCCTGATCCTATTGCCGTGGAGAGTAGCATGAACTTTATCACTCCAGTGACTTTTGTGACTCCAGCTCACAGAACTCACAAACACAAAGAAGGGACTAAGTTCACAATTAAATACATATTTTTCTCTCTCCCACTGTAAAAATACACATACAGAACTGGGTCTTTGTAACAACACATCCGTTACCTGTGGTACAATCACGATCTGGAGTTAATCTAACACTGAGTCTCTGAGCAGCTTCAGATAGATGACAATTTTAAAAAACAGCTTTCAATAACTATCTTCTTATTTCCGCAAAATGTGGAGTTTCCAAAGAAAATTTTGCATTGGTCCAGTGTCCAGAACTGTTAGAACTATATCCATGAGTGCTTTAACATCTTAAGACAATTAGAAAGGCATTTATAGAAATAGAAGTTACTTATGTCCCTAGATAACTGTGAATACCGTCCTTTAAAATGGTGATGCCCTTGTGCGTAGGAAAAAAACTACTTTTGATTATTATAAGAGTTTCTGAAAATGCATTAATTACATGTTATTTTCTTTCTGAGAATTAGTCTATCATTAGCAAAAGCTTCTGGGTGAGAGACTACAAAACAACACAGTTTCAATTTCAATTTTCAAGTCTCCCTTAAATATTTTTAAAATCTATTTTTCATTAATTTTTTTTGGTGATACATTAATTCTGTTTGCCTACATTGCACTGATCTGCCAGTATTGCACTGAGAATACCAGGACACATTTGGGACATTGTAATTTAGTACTGAGATTTATCAGAAACTTGTTTATACTAAACTCATGCAGATAAAGGGTAGATATAAGCTCTAGTGAAAAACATGACTTAAATATGCCATAAAGATTCAGGAAAAAATATTAAAGTCTTCTGCTACGCAGTAGGTTTCTTCTAATTACGGCAAAAAAGTCTAGGGAGTATACCAGTTATTAAGCAAAGCGCACCAGAAATTACAGGATCAAGATAGAGCAGTTACTCTGAGCCAAGAGCTTTCCTGTTCACACTTCCTACACCTTGGTACTATACAGTATAAACCACTTGTGTATGTGGTAGGTGTACACAGATACATATGTACAAATGTATATGTGCATATATGTAAACACACACACACATACAAACGCTGCATGGAATTGAGAAGCAGGCAAATGATAGAAGATCTCAATTCTTTGGTAAGCGATTAATGCTTACATTAAATCACTTGAGCACCTTGCTTTTTGAGCACCCTGCCAGCCTAAACTTTTCCATCTATAATATGACTATAAACCAGTCATTTTCGGTCACTTCAGGTTTCAACTGAATTTGGGCGCTGCTGTAAACTTTGAGGCAGTCTTCTAAGAAAGAACTTGGAGGCAGATGTTAGTGAGAATTTTTCCTTTGTTTAGCAGCACATACAGTTCGCCTTGAGATAATAATCATCACCCTTTTGAATTAGATAGCGTACTTTAGTAGGAACAGGACGCAGCACATCATGGGTGTATGTTCGCGGTTGCACAGCAAGTGATGCAATCGACATCATGGTTTAAGCACTATTTCCTGCTTCTCTTAAACTAAAGAATTCTCTTGGATTAAAGAATGAGGTCCAGAAAGGCAAAGCAAATCAACCTCCCCCCAGTTTGCTGCTCTCTCTCAGGTCTTCTGCAGCCAGGTTCAGTACTTGGGATTCCCAGCTAGTCCTTATCCAAAGAATGCCAAAGCTAAAGCATTGCAGAGTTCAGTCAGCCTTCCGGATACACTTTGGACCCTGAGTTCCTCAGAGTAGATCTAACTAATGCCCCATGGCAGAGAATAGAATTTAGTGGATATATTATCTCAGCCAAACTGTTAGAGGTTTTTTTGATCTTCTTTTAGGCATTGGGTATCCATTAATTTCTAGTGTTAAGCATTTGATTTAGGAAGATTGTTTCCATTTTCAGGATATAGCAATTGGCTAATGACGCCCAGTTAAAGTCTCCAATAATTAGGTGCTTTTAAAAATACATATGGAAAGACACATACATTGACTTGGGTTATAAAGACCAGTGAAATATACTTGTACAATGAAATATTATTGAGCATGTGGCCAATTCCAGTGGCTGTAGGCAGGCCTGTAGTTTAGAGCAAAGAACGGCATATTGGGACATCAGATTTCTCTTACCAGTTCTGCCATTAATTTTCTGATTGATCTTGGGCAGGTCACACAGACTCCTTGTGAGACTGCTTTGCCATCTGTAAAATGAAAATAACAGCTTTTAGCTACCTCTATAAAACTCAGTGTGATCTTTCTCTAAAAATGTCCATCGAGTTCAACATGTAACCAGAAAAAATTCAAAACTGGAACTAGGCTGTTTTACGTCAATTAGGCTTTAGCTCATGCAAAGGAGATAGAATTGAACAGAATCACAGTTGAGGTAAATGTAATGTCTCAAGACAAACAATCAAGTCTGGAAAAAGGCAGGCGCAATAGGGCAGGGGCTGTGTTATATGCGGAAGAAATCAGTGTTATGCAAA